TAGCTAACTTACTGTACCGGTGGGGTTACTTTTTTTTTTTTTTTTTTCCTTCTTCCCCAAATGACCCAACCATGACCCGAGATATCACAACAATGACCTTATCGCTCGCGTGTTGCAGAAAAGGGTACAGTACCTCAACGCTCGACCGTAATAGAGGCCAAATTTGCGCCACGAATGAGCGAAGGAAAGGTATGATATCCGCCAATCTTTCTCACGTTTTTTTCTTTTTTCCAACTAACGGTACCGTTATCACTACGTACTCGAGAAATACCATATACGTGGGGAACTAAACTTCGCGTAAATTAATAGTAAAACCCACGAGGATCTGTGTAAGGGGTGACCGACGGTGCATGATGTAATTTAACATGGCCTTCCTTGGTTCATGTCAGGACACCAAACGCTCACCGTTGCTGTCGCACAGTACCAGACCACGCTGCATAAATCTGATATGAGTGGTACTGTGGGTTCGGATTGGGGGGGGAGGGAGAGATCTTGAAAGCCAGCGCTCAATCGTAGAATATGTCACAAATGTAACGTTAAATTGTTATTATCGGAACCTGGAAGCGGGTCGGACGGACGGACTGAACGGACGGGGAACAGGGCAAATCGGTTGGTTGGTTAGATCTGCGCCAAAAAAAAAAACGGTTTCGGGATCCAATGGCAGGTTACTGTATGGAGGAAGGAAGGAAGGAAAGAAATTCCGAGGAGCAAGGGGATAGATAATATTCTTGATGGAAAGAGTGGATTTGCTTCCCCCCCCCATTGAGCTGAATTTGGAGATTTTGATTTTGGCTAATTTTTTTTTTTCCACGGTATGATAGTCTAGGTCAAGCATAGCATAGCATAGCATAGCAGAGCAAACCTAAGTCCATCAGACGAAGGGAATACGGTATATTTACTGTACGGCGCTGTACGGTACGGTAGGCAAAAAGGATGCAGAAGTAAGTTAGATGATTTACTCTAGTATGTACAATACCGCAGTCGAGCATCCGACCCGGTTATAACCATAATCATACGTCAGAACTCGGCAAGGATGGGAGGAGCATTTATAATATTATAATAATAATATCATCATCGTCATACTGTCGATGTCCAGGAGGATCCGCCAGGGTACTCACTCACTCACTCACCCACTCACTCATCCATCCAGGGTTCCCACACCCCCCTTCGGCGCTGGACGTCAATTGAGGTTCTTTATTTTTGGATTTCCCAATACTTTTGGTGTTTTTTTTTTTTGTTGTCAATTCGTTGTTACTTTTTGGTCCATGTGTTGTGCTGTAAGTTCTCGAGTACGGTACTGTGCTGTACTCAGGCGGTTCGCTGGCCGGCTGGGTTGGGGAGCAGATCAATTTGTATGGGTTATAATACTAGAATGGTATGATTGATATGATACCTTGCTCCGGCCGTCTTCGATATGGTTGTGTGTGGGTACCCTGCTAGGAACTCATGTGCTCGAGTATCATGGACAATACCAGGCTACCTCCCTCCCTCCCACTCCCCCAACCCCCCGCGCAGTTATTTGGAAAGTCGGATGGAATGGTTTGCCTGCTCAATTGATACGGCACATCACGAGGACGCTGTGCTCGTACTGTACTGTACAGCATAGCACAGTGTAGACA